CCAGGGTCTCACCTCTCTCCTGGGGAATAACTTCTGCCTTACATCCAGCCTGAATCGGCCCACTGCCAGCTTTGCCCCATTCCCTCTACTCCTGTCACTAAAAAGTCACCTAGAACATCCCTCCCCAGCTTTCTTGTAGGCCTCCTTAAGATACTTAACTTATAACATGTCTAGGTAAGAGATTAAATGCTCTAGGAAAAGGCATTCTACAAGGGCAGCAAATCACTTTTATTAAAAATATTATCATTGGTCTTCTCAAGCACAAAAATCTTGTGTTTTCCTGTAAATTACACAGGAGTGCAACAAAGGAAAAGGAGTGGGCCATTATCTGTATTAAAATGAGCTTTAAAATATCTCCAAAGATCAGAGAATCCTGGCATGGTAGGGATCAGAAGGGACCTCTGGGGATCATCTCATCCAACCCCCTGCTCCAGCAGCTCACCCACAGCAGGGGGCCCAGAATCACATCCAGGGGGGTTTGGGATCTCTCCAGAGCAGGAGACTCCACAGCCTCTCTGGGCAGCTGCTCCAGGCTCTGCACCCTCACACCAAAGACATTTTTCTTCCTGCTCAGGTGGCACCTCCTGGGTTCCAGTTGGTGCCCGTTGCCCCTTGTCCTGTCACTGGGCACCACTGACCAGAGTCTGGCCCCAGCCTCTTGCCCCCTGGGGGCCTTTAGCTCTTGCTCAGCACTGATCAGATCCCCTCTGAGGCTTCTCCAGCTGCACAGCCCCAGGGCTCTCAGCCTTTCCTCAACACAGAGATGCCCCAGTGCTAAATTTACAAGATGAATTTGTAGAGACACTGACATTTATATATTTTGAAAGGTTCATTTTTAATAAACCAAATACTTCAATAACGCAAAGTTATTAAAAGAGTTAAACTTTCCAAGCTTACATTTCTGGACAATAGAGAAATGTCTTTTTGGCAGCTGTCCCCTTGCTCAGTAAAGGACATTTTCCCACGGCCAGAACAGGGAATTCATGGGTGGCTGTGCACCTACAGCATTGAAACGAGCTCTTACCTTCAGCCCAGCTGCCCATCACACCCAGAATCGAGGGCATGCTCGTGTACTGCTCATCTGCTTTTGAGGACTTGGATTTACTAGAAGAACGAGGTGATTCATGCTCCTGCTGTGCCACAGCCAAGCTCCTGGGCATCATGTCAGCCCCTTGGCCGTACTGGTAGCCCACGTGAGGAGATTCAACTTCAGCTTCGATCGGCACCTGCTCCTCAGGCTGCGCCATGTGGCTGGTGGGCTCAGCAGCCCTGTCCTCCAGTTTGCTGGATTTATAGTGAGGGATGTCAGAAGGTTGCTGCAGTCCCAGATGCCGGGATTTCTTCATGGAATCCTGCCGCTGCTCATGTTTGGACAGCTGCTGCTGAGCGTTTCTCTGAGAGGTTGGGTAGTAGCTGAAATTGCTCCAGGCGTTTCCACCCATCATACAGGTGCCTTGGTCGGGACTCAGGTGGGGGCGTGGGGGGCTGCTCTCTGCCCTCCAGCCTGTGCTGTACAAGCAGGACCGGTCCACGCCGTTGGAGCTGACGTCTTTGTCCGAGAGGCTGAAGTACCTATCCTTCTCCTTCTCACTGATGTCCAGGGAGGACTTGATGAAGGTCTTACACACACTGATAACATCAGTCATCTGCAGGTAGCTGGCAGCCGACATCACTTCGATGACATTCTGACCAGTGAGGGACAGTTTGCCCGAATACACAAAATCTAGAATAACAGTGAACGTGTCAGGAGAAAACGCCTGGAAAGTAGCTGTGGTGGGTTGAGTTGTCTCCTTGGAGTCCTGGGAAAGGAGCATCTTGAAGTAGCCACTGCTGGCAAAGAGCACATTGCGGTGTGCCTTGAAGACCTTTCCCTCCACCAGGATGCTGCAGTCACAGAATAAATCTTGCCTGCGCTGCTCATTGAGTTGCTCCAGGAGGTGAAACTGGTGGGAAGAAATCTCCATGCCAGAAAAGATTAAATGAAGCGTCACTCTAAAAAATAATAATAATAAAAAAAATTACTCTTGACTTCAGGGCCACGCGACTCAGCGGGAGATGTTAGACCCAGTTTCAGAGATGCCTTTAGAAAAAAACCTTATTTATTGAAGCCTATAAATATATTTAAATTCCAACACGCACAACCGCATTCTTTTT